TTAACATGCCTTCCTGAAGACTCTGGTCTATGCAACACTTGCTTCATTGGCTGATCAATTGGAACCTCGATAATAAAAACCTGGAAATATGGTCTAAGTCTCCTAGTCGTAGTCATCAGGGCCAAAACTAGCTTCTCTATCTTTGGATATCTCTCCTTTGCCCCCTCAGAGCTCTGCTACAATAGTACACTGGTTGCTGAGCTCTATCTCACTCCGTAACTAGTGTTGTGCTGGTTGAGAAATCTGAGACAGCTAAATAAAGAGTAAGCACTTCCCCTTCTAAGGGACTTATCAGGATAGATGGAGAGTTTAGGTACTCCTTCGGTGCTTTGAACGCTTCCTCACATCGAGTATCCCACTAAAAAGCCTTCTTCAACACCTAAAAGAAAGGTCGACACTTGTCACTTGATTTGGATACAAAGCGACTCAAGGAGGTTATCCTTCCTGTCAGGCGTTGGATCTCCCTGATGTTGGACGGTGGTCACATATCCAGAACTGCCTTAACCTGTTCTGGGTTAGCCTTGATTCCTCTATTGTTGACTATAAATCCCAGAAACTTTCCTGTTGATACTCCAAAGACACACTTCGCAGGGTTGAGTCTCATCTTGTACTCCTTAAGGATTTGGAATGATTTTGTGAGGTGCTCGATGTGTAGCTCTGTTTTTAGTGATTTTACTAACATATTATCGATATAGACCTCCATGGATGTCCCAATTTGCTTTTGAAACATTTTATTCACTAGGCGCTGATAGGTGGCTCCAGCATTCTTCAATCCAAAAGGCATGACCTGATAGTAATAAGTTCCCTGTTTAGTCACAAATGAAGTCTTCTCCTGGTCCACTGGGTCCATCCTGATCTGATTATAACCTGAGAAAGCATCCATGAAGCTGAGGAGCTCATGCCAAGTAGTTGCATCCACGATCAAGTCGATTCGAGGTAAGGGAAAGCTGTCTTGGGACATGCTCGATTGAGATTAGTGAAATCAATGTAGAGTCGCCATTTCCTATTGGTCTTCTTGACCAGCACCACATTCGCCAACCAGGTAGGGTAATCCACCTCTCTGATGGCTTTGGCATGGAGGAGTTTACTAACCTCCTCGTTAATTACCTTTTGGCGTTCTGGAGCAAAACTTCTCCACTTCTGTATAACAGGTTTGCAAAAAGGATTCACGCTTAGCTTGTGTGTGATGATCGAGATGCCTTCCATATTCCCTTGCTTCCAAGCGAACACCCCCATGTTCTTCCTTAGGAACTAGGTGAGTAGGTCTTTCATTTCTTTGCTCAACTTAGATCCCACGTAAATAATATGTTCAGGCTCCTCATTAAGCTGGACTAGTTCTAGCTCTTCTGACGGTATGGGCCTGGTGTCCAGCTCGTCCCTCATGTCAAGCTCATCTAGCTGGATAGTTCAACCTCTTTCTGCTTCATTGAGGCCATGTAGCACTCCCTGGTTATTCGCTGGTCTCCTCGGATCATTCCAACTCTATTTTTTGTAGGAAATTTTACGACAAGGTGATATGCTGAGGGGATAGCCTTCATTGCGTTGAGGGTTGGTCTCCTAAGTAGTATATTATACGCAGAAGGGGCGTCAACTACCAGGAATTTCACCGTGGTGGTGCCTTGACAAGGAGGGTCCCCCATAGTGAACACAAGTTGGATGGATTCCAGGGGTAGCACCCTCTCCCCTGAAAACCCCATCAAGTGAGCATTCACTAGCTCAAGCTTCTCCCTTCCTACACCCATTTTGTCAAAGGCAGAGGCAAAAATGATGTTGGCCGAGCTCCCATTGTCAATTAGAACTTGATGAATAGTTTGATTTGCCACAATGGCCCTTACGACCAATGGGTCATCATGGGGATACTGACAGCCTTCCAAGTCTGGATCCGAGAAAGTGATGGTTGTGCTCAGCCGAGGTATTTTGGACACGGTGTGTACTTTCAGCGCTTCGCCAGCTCTAATCTTGCGCAGGTGTGCTTTCCTGGCTGCACTGGATTCTCCACCGCCAGCAAATCCTCCAGATATCACTCTGATCTCCCCTAAGGTTGTTGGTGCTGTGCAGAGGCTTGTTGCTGAGGTGCCGGTGGTGATAGAGCCCTGTTTTGGTTGTCATGGGATGACAAATCGTCGTAACTATCCCCTCTGGATCAAGAACTTGATCTCTTCTTTAGTTGGATGCAATCGTCGGTATGATGGTCATGATCCCTATGATATTCACAATATTTAGTAGGATCTCTTTTAGACGAATCTGTTTTCATTTGTGGAGGCCATCTTAGGAATTTCTCGTTCTGCACCTCATATAGGATCTGTGACACTATTGTAGTGAGAGGGGTATATTGCTAAGGTGCGTACCTCGGCTATAGTTCAGGCTGCAGGGGACCTAAGCGGTTCCTAACGTTCCCCCTTCTTTTTGGGGATCGTTGTTTATTTCTTCTAGGAGATCTATCTCTCTTTGGAGATTTGTTTCTTTTCCTCTCTCTCCTAGGACTTCGGTTCCTCTTTTTTCTCTTCCTTTCTCTTGTCTTTATGTGCGGAAGAGCTCCCTACCTTAGAAAGAAGAACTTCTTCGCCGTTTATGTATTTCTCCGCTTTGGCAAGCACCTCGGTCATGCTTATTTGGAGATTTTTTGATATGGAGAACATCAAATCTTTAAACTGCACCCCTGGACTAGCTATAAAGGCAGTGATGGTGACTTTTTATCTGGGACATCCACCTTTAACGACTCCAAATTAAATCTTTGGACATACGACCTGAGGTTTTCTTGTGGTCCCTGTTTCATATTCAAAAGGTGATAGCTCGGCTTTCTATAGGTTCGAGCCCCTATGAAATGATATACAAAGGAAATGGAAAGCTCTTTGAAGGAAGAGATTGAGGCCGGGGGGAGCCTGTTAAACCACGCCAAGGCTGAACTCTTCAAAGTGATGGCAAAGGCTCGACAGCGTACGATGTCCTAATACCCGTGCAATTTCATCTAGTTCTTATAAGTATTGAGGTGGTCCATAGGGTCCCTGATTCCATCAAATGACTCTATCTATGACATCCTGAACTTTGGTGGGAGAGAAAAATGCAACACCCTAGGCGTGAATGGAGATTCAGTCTGTTGCACCAAGACATCCATTGTAACTGGAGATTTATTTCTGACCGCTTTCCTTTATGTGGCTGAGCTCCTGTTGGATGCCCTAGAAACGTTGCTCCCAATATTGCTCCCTTCTCTCCTACTAATAAGGGAAACATCATTCTTTTCACCTTCATGGTTTTGACTTTGTACTTCCTCATTGTGGCCGTTCCTAGGGGGTAGTTAGGGAACCTGCCCCAAGGTCTGACTATTCTCCCCCCTTCGTTGTCTTCTCTAAGTGGATCAATGTGTTGTTGATCCCTGTAGTGGGGACTGTTCTGACCTTCTTAGGGCGGACATGCTTCTTATGGGCGCTGTAAGAACTTCAAGAGCTCCTCGTTTTGCTTTATCAAGCACTGATTGATGAGGCAAAGGGCCTCCATCTTGTTATTTATGGGGGGATTCCCTATGGGAGGTTCAGTCTCTGGGACGTTCTCGGGCTGTCTGCCATTGGTGGCTCCCTGTTGGTCCTGCATCCGAGATGAGTTTGTTTGGCTTCTGCTCATGTTTCGTGTTGACACCATTAAACACTGAAAGATCAGCTCATTTATAACAAGAACAGTCGTTCCCATAGACGGTGCCAAACTGGTGGTGTAAATTAATGAGGATGAGCAAAAGGTATAGGGGACGTGTGATGAGCGTGAATCAGAGCTACGCGGCTCGTGTGTGATGCTGCAGTGAAATACTGAGGGGATTAAATGGGTGTACACAGTAAAAATATAGTGGTTCACCAGCTCAGGAGCTCGGCTAGTCCAGTCTTCAATGAAGGTTCTTGCTTCCTCTCCTCTATTCCATATTGATATGTATTACAATACGGTATATCTCGAAATTAGGGTTTTTTTCTCATCTCTCTCTATGGAGGCGTTGCATAGTATTTATAAGGCTGCCACCTATTATGTGGAATTTCAGTCGAGATCTTTGCCCATTATTCATGGGATCTTCTTTGATTTCAGGAGAGAATCTTGGTTGGTTGAGAGTTTCATGCATGAGGCCCAATCTTCGCAGTCATCCCGCTGTTTCCTGGTTGGTTCAGCTACGATCTTCCCAAGAGGAGCTCCACCCTTGGTTCTTTGAGTTTCTCGTGTCTTTCCCGACCTCCTGACCTGAGCTCACAACTAGAACATGTTGAGTCGCGAGAAGGTCAAAAGAAATAATTTAGCTACTTTATTACATAGATATTTAAATTTTAATATATTAATATTTCAATAGAGTATAGTTTAATCTATTATAATAAATTTTAATAATTCTATCATAAAACTAAGTTAAAAGCCAAATATACATAATTTGCTAAAATTCGATTTAAATTTAACCCGTCATATCTTACGTACAAGCTTTTATATCTAAACAGCTTAATATTGACGTAATTTACCTTCCTTTGAGGTCATAAACAAATAAACAAACCAACATTTGATGAAGAGAAGGGTTAAAATAGGTAAATACCATGGAAAACAGACTGTATGTTTGACACGTGTATATAAAAATATTTAATCCAGAAAATTTAGCCGAATGAGTAATATCCAGCTAGTACGGAAAACTGATCCAAATTTTATCTATTTACTTTTGGAAGACTAATATGGTATGAAATTTCAGATTTATCACGACGACGCTGTAAGCTATATGTAAACTGGGTCGCGGACTGTTTGGCTAACATCACCATTACACTCTGTATGAGCAACTCCAAAATCCTACCTAATTTGAAGAGTCCTCTAAAATTTCTCTCTAAAGGACTATCTATCTAACAACGGCAAGCTATATCCTAGCTATGTTGAAGAGTCCCTCCCTAAAATTTCTCTCCAAAGCGCTATCTATACCACAGTTGCTAGCTATTCGTTTTTGCGCTAATTTTCTTCTCACTCCTAAGCACCCCTTTTATCGTTTTCTTTATCAGCGACAGCAGCTCCTCTCAACGTCTTCACACAACAGAGGCTTCAACGTCTTCACGGCGGCTGGTGGTGGCTGCATCTTCTTCTTCCAAGGCTTCATCACCCAGGTATGGAGTTTTCTCTCTCTCTCTCTCTCTCTCTCTCTCTGTCTCTATGTGTATATATACCACCGAAACCCCACCGAAACCCATCGAAATCCATCTCTCTCTCTCTCTCTCTCTCTCTCTCTCGGTTCCCACTTGAACTTCTGAATTAGGGATTTGAAATTACTGATTTTTTAGGGATTTGAAATTTCTGTTTTGTTGAACATAGTTTGCTGTATATTGTTTTGTTGGATATGTTCATGGCCTATATACTGTTTTGTTGGACATGATTCATGGACTTAATGTGTTATTAAAGACCTCCCAGAAGGAAGATTTTTCCAAACTACATATCCGCAACAATTTAAGCCATTTCTAGCAGTCGTTTAATTAGTAAGAGGAATACTGGAAAACCCAATTTGTATATTTACTTGAATCTGTATATTTTATTTTGTTTTCATGGGTTTAAGGGTTGTGCTTTAGAGCATTCAATGGTTGGTGTCTTGTTTTTTGATGCTGTAATCCGTGAATGGTTTAATACAGCTTTTTTTCTTGTTTTTTTAAGGGTTGTGCTTTAGAGCATTCAGATTCTTGATGGAATGGTTTTCATGTTTTAATACAGCTTTTTTTCGGTAATATTTTCTTTTGTTTATTTATGATTTTTTATTTGATTGCTTGATTTTCTTAGGTATTGAAGTTTAATCAATAGGACGAAACAAACATGGGAAACATGTAATTATGGGGATATTGTTGTGATTGATTTAGAGGTTCTGCCAAATTTTCTAGTTGGGTGTTCTAAGCTTCAGCTATGTTTGCAAATTATCTATTAGCATACATTAGATGAATTTATCTGTTAAAATTGAGGGGCAATATTGTTAAGTAAATATAACTTTACACTTTTAAGATATTACCACCAAACACAGTTTTATTTATAGATACACTTCTTAATTTAATAGCACTTTGACTCTGTTCTCCGTCACTGATTAATATTTAATTGTTTCATGATTTGCCAACACCATAGTAGAGAAGATATTTTGAAACTATCCCGGTACTATGCAAAATTTCCATTGTACTTCTATTCCATATGTAATTTGATTGATTGTAATTTTTTGTTGTGTGAAACCTTTTTGGCAAGCTAATTTTCTAATTTGAATATCTATAAATTAAGTACTGATCAATATTTCGAAGAAAAAAAATTAGGATGAAATAGTAGAGTTTATATGATTCCAGTTATTCATGGTTCTGAACTTATGATTTATATAGGCTAATGTGATTATGCGTATGACCGACGTCAAATTTAATGCAATATATCATATGTTTCCCTATATTTCAGTTGTCTAATGTGTGAGTTTTTTGGTCAGTGTCTAGTGTGATTGAATTTTGTTCCTTTTGTCTTTTGGTTGCAGAGACACTTTGCTTGAGATGATAAAAATGAAGGCTGGGAACTTCTGGTTCTTTCTTCTATGTTTATGTGTTGTCTCTTTTACTGCGGTAATTAAGCTCTCTTTGCTCATTTTAATCAGCATTTATGTGTATATATACAGCCAAAGTGTTTATGCGTTAATTTATCTTCCATACAGATTTCTGTGGGTCCACCAACTTGTCCTGCAGATATTGGTAGTGAATGTGGCGTTGGTACGGGTGAATGGAAAGGGGAATTCTTTTCTGGCATTCCCAAGATTAAGTATGAGGTAAAAGCCATCTTGGAAAATGAAAACATGAGATGCATGTTAGATAAATTGCTTCATCGACATTCAATGTTTTTTATTTAAGTTTGTGCAACTCCAAAAGTGTGCTGTTTCTTTCGTATGTTAGGGCCCTTCTAGCAAGGACCCACTTGCATTTAAATGGTACAATGCTCAAGAGGAGATTCTTGGGAAGAAAATGAAGGTTTGTGTTTGATTTTTCTAGTTGTTTTTTTTTTAATGTAATTTTTAAAAAGGATGGTTAACAAAAAGAATTTTTCATTCATCATAGGATTGGATGAGATTCAGTGTTGCGTTTTGGCACACATTCCGTGGGACAGGAGGTGACCCATTTGGTGCAGCTACAAAGTTGTGGCCTTGGGAAGATGGTACCAATTCATTGGACATGGCCAAGAGGAGGAGTAAGAAGAACCTAAATTACCCATGTTTCACTAGTTCTTCTGATTTTTTGAGATTTGAAACTAAGCTTGTTTCATACAAATTGATGATATGCAGTGAGAGCAAACTTTGAGTTTTTAGAAAAGCTTGGAGTAGACAGATGGTGCTTCCATGATAGAGACATTGCTCCCGATGGTGACACAATAGAGGTAAATAGAAAGGAGACAAATCTGTTGCTAAATTGTTGAATGCCTCAAAAGTAGAACCATATGTTAAAAATTTCTTAGTTTTGTTCCCCTTAATAGACTGTGGTATACCTGGCTAGTTTATTTTATTTGGCACAGGAAGCTAATGCAAATTTGGATGAAGTGGTGGCTCTTGCCAAAGAGCTTCAGGTAATATCCACTGGCAAAGAGCCAGCTAAAGCTGGAATATTTTCTGAAAAAAAAAGTGTGATATGTTTTATCCTTAAATCTATATACAAGTGAGGGACATGAGACTGTGGTCTTTGTTTCAAGGCTCAACTGACAACTTTACACACAAAGGACTCGTTCCAAAAAGTTGTGGGGTTTTGTCCATTACTCTCTAATTCCATTTCTTTTATTCTTACTATTTGATTTCACTGTTCAGGGGACCAAGATTCGTCCTTTGTGGGGTACAGCTCAGTTGTTCTTGCATCCTCGTTACATGCATGGTGCTGCTACTAGGTACGTTATGCTTCAAAGTTCAATCTAGGTTGGATGTGATTAATCCTTTCATATCCTGTAATTATGGACTCATACTTCCTGTTCTTGCCTTGCAGCCCTGAATTAGGAGTATATGCACATGCTGCAGCTCAGGTCAAGAAAGCCATGGAGGTGGGTTGTTAGTACATGCAATTCTAGTGACATAAAATGACTGGTTGTCAAGCACAGATAACTTAGTTCTATAAGGTCATGTATCTATCCAACATTGAGTGTGCTAATTTACACATTTTACAGGTCACACATTATCTGGGGGGAGAAAACTATGTCTTCTGGGGTGGTCGGGAGGGTTATCAGACTCTCTTGAACACAGATATGGAAAGAGAGCTTGATCACATGGTAGGATCACTAAAGTTCCGAGTAGATTTTAAATTATGCCATGCCTTCAGCATAACCTTTTTGTCTGCATGTTTTATACTTTCCTTCCTTAGTTAGGACTTGTGTTTCCCTTCCTTCTCTTTTCTTTTCTTGTCATTTTGTCATGAAGCTAACTGTTTACCCAGGATTGTGGAAGGATTTGTTTACTGAGGCTTCAATTCTATTCATGCGATTGGTCTTAGTCGACTATGTCCTTAAACATGTTTTGCTTTATTTTTTCGTCTCTCAGGCAAGGTTTTTTGAAGCTGCTGTAGCCTACAAGAAGAAGATTGGATTTAATGGTACTTCTGTATTTAATTTTGTAAAGCACTACCGTAATAGTTTTTTGGAACTGTAGGTAACCTAAAAATCACATCATCTAAATCAAGATTCATCATTTTGGAACCTTTTGGTAGGATTTAATTATACGTCTGTCCATTGAGTCCTTGTGACTCATCGTTGTTCAACAATATTGCTCTTATCGCTTGACCAGAACTTTTAATCAGAAATAATTTTCTCTTCTGTGGTTCTCTCCAGGGACACTCCTCATTGAACCCAAGCCTCAAGAACCTACCAAACACCAGTATGTTTCTTTACAACCTTTTAATCAGAATAAATCATCATTCATAATTTGCTGCATGTCTTACATTTATCAATGATGACAGATATGATTGGGATGCTGCAACTTCAGCTAATTTCTTGCGCAAATATGGCCTCATAGGTGATCTATGAAATCCATTGTCCTCAAGTCTCTCACTTATTCAGTTATTTGTAACTTTGTGTTACCTTGTTGCATTCAAATTCCTCGGTACAAAAATTAATTTAGTAAGAAATTCCTCAGAGCAAGCATTGGGTTATGCTATCTACCATTTTATTTTTGTTTGTTCTTTGTAACAGTTGACTATCTTTGACATGGTTTAAGATTGCAGTATCGGCCATCGACTCGGAGGGCACTGATACACATTGGTCGTGGTATCCCGGTATGGTATCAGCCGATACGCAAAAAATACTACACAGAAAGCTCAAAAAATTTTGAAAAAAATTATGAAATTTTTAAAAAAAATATAAATAATAAACATCCATGCATCATTTGTACAAAAAATATCATCAAATATTAAACTATATTAAAAATAAATTAGAAGGGCACTATCGGTAATATAATCCATAATTAGTTTTCAATTTATGCATTTTAAAAAATAAAACTCATAGATAGTTCAGATATATATATATATATATATATATATATATATATTTATCCCATTTTTTAATTTTTGTCTAATTTATTTAAATATATTAAGAAAGATAGTCATCAAAGAGTCTTAAAAGACCCATTGCCAACAGAGTCTTCAAGACCCAATAAAGTTGGCGTCTTTCAAACGCTTTAACATCGCCTACTCCATGCAAAGTGGAATCTATTACCAAAATACGGGCCTTTTAAAACTTTAATACCAATCTACAACTGTTTTGAACTTATTTACCAATCTAAGACACTTTTTAAAAGCGGAATCAACAAATCCGAGTTCCTATGAAAGCGGAATCAACAAATATGACTTCATATGGTAAAGCGAATCAACAAATCCGTTTTTATTATTGAAAGCGTTTATGAAATTCGCTTTTACTTGAATAACAAATGCGTTTTCAAACAGAAAGCGTATTTTGCAAGACCGTTTTATCAAATAAAGCGGATATAATAAACTCGCTTTCATTCGAATATTTATTCTCTCACTAGCCCCCTTTCTGCTATTTCACAAGTTTCTCCTCTCTCCTTTCTCCTCTCTTCTCTTTGTGGAAGGCGAATACTTACCTTTGTCTCTCTTCTTCTCTCTTTGCTTTCGCCATCCCCTAAGTTCAGCCCTTAAAATGCACACACCCTAATTGAGAAAATTCAATCTTAGCCCTAAGCTTGTTCGAAGAATACAACTAAGGTCTTCTACAAGAATCGGCTATGGGATTCGCCTGAGGTTCTTGCAGAGCCCTAATTCTAGCTATGAGAATCTTAATAGGCTCTAGGTTACTCAATGTTTTGTCAAATTGTGTAGTGGACTAGTACACACCTGTGGGCTACGTCTGAAGTAAGGAGAAGACAGGGCTTCACGTGTTGAACATAAAGTATTCTATTTAACTAGGCACGCTACAATTGACTCTGCAATTCAGGAAATTCCCAATTTTAGAAAAAATTCTCCATTGCCCAATCTCCTTCACCGTCAAATTCGGATATCCCTAACTGTAACTCAAACAAATCCCATTACTGTGTGTTTCAAAAATTCCCAATTTTATAAAATCTTCAGTCCCCATTACTGCTTCGAGTAAGTTGAACTGCATCCTTACTTCAAAAATTTACAGTGTGAAGGTACATTAAATTTTTGAATTTTATTCAAAATATCTTAATGTATGTTGAATGCTATTTTTTGGACTAAATTATGTCTTTTGTGTATTACGAATATTGGTGCTTGCTTACTGTATGTGTAATTTAGTTGAAGGTGTTATGAAATTTACATTGTGAAGGATATTGGTCTTTGTATTAGGAAATTTGTGAAAGTTAGTTTGGCCCTTGCCATTTACTTGTTTGACAATGTTAGAAATCTTGATAGTGACAATGAATTTGTTTGAGCCTTTCTATTTACAGATGTGAAATTCATAACATAACTAAAAAGACAGGAATTAGAATGATTTTATGTTGTCTGTAACATGGCAAAGGGTTTGAATTTAGGTTGCACTGTGAATTTATTGAAATGTAAAGTGATGGTCTTTGCCTCATCAATTTGCTTTTGTTACTAACCTTTCAAGTTTCATGTGTTCTAGATAATCCAAACTAGCCGTGTTAAGGTAGACAAGAAGATTCGAACCCACCTGCTCAGTCAAAGAGGGACCCAAATTAATGGGGTTAGAGAGAGACCAAAATTAATGTTGTCTGAGATGGTAAACAAGAATATGACTACATGTTGCTTATAAAAAAGATGTTCCTAGACAGAGTATAATGGCATAATGAGCTTCATGTAACCTGTCCCTAATAGTTGAAACATGATTTTCTTGAGTTTGAGTTGTATATGACCAGATTAATGAGGGTATCCATCCATTTAGGAAATAGAGAAACAAATATGAATGATGAGAACTAGGGTTATGTTGTAATGTTAACAGGCTGCTTATGATTGACACTAGAAAAAATGGAAAATATGAGATTCTTTATTGAGTTTTATATTAAAAAAGGTGGTAATCAGTTAGGAAAGGAAAAATTGACAGAATAAGGTAATGAAAAGTTATATATGTAACAAGCAAAAAGAAAATTCCAAAAGAAATTGAAGGACAGAGGCTAATAGCTTTGTTGCCTTTGTGGGATCAGATGAACAAAAGAAGATGATGTCACCTTAAAATATGTCATGCAACCCAATCTAGTAATTTAAATATGAAAATTATTTGATATTATATTTTATATCGAAGGTATAATATGTTGAGAAGACTCGCTATAGTAATGTGCTATTGGGGGGGTAACATTATATACAATAAATGTTATTTATCGTACAATAGAAAGCCTTAACATTGTATAAAGTTAAAACACAGAACATATGAAGAATTGTTGAGAACTATGTACACGATAATGCAGCTGAACCATTCAACATCACGACTATAACTAATTTGTCGGTATTCATCATTTTTGGGGGATCGCATGCAACATTACGTAGAATTTGAAATTGTCAATACACGGTTTAAATGCCCAAAAAACTCTGTCAAAGACAACCGTCCCATTTCCAAGGTCGGCCAACTGTCAACTAACTATTGTGCCATGATTATACTTTTGCAGTGCAACAAGAAATTTTGGCAAAATAGAATATAATTAATCCAAGTCATAAAAAATCATAGCTAATGCACTTTGTTTTGTTTTCCATGCTTTCTTATATGAAATCTCGTACTTATACACATTGGAAATGTGTTTTATTATTACAACCTTCAGAGATGGATCTGCCCTCACGAGGTCTTTTATTTGGCATGTAACGAATTGGGAATCTAATTGTGCATAGTCCTGGATGGCTGACACAGGCAGACAAGTGTGCGGACCTTCATATTTGGTAATTTGAAACATTTCGTGTGTTTTCTTTTGACATGCACGGAGTCTCCATTTGCACCCGAATTGATATTTTTTACACTGCAAAGCCAATAACTTTTTTTCACTCTTAATAACTTCAAATTGGACATGATTGTTGATTGAATAAATCTTCACTGCATTTTGCAATTCTGTTTTACCCTTGAAGATTAGGCCGATGGATAACTCAGGCCAATCAGGATCCCACAATGGAGCTCTTGTTTAATTGTTGGGGGTAGAAAGTTGGGGAAGTGCATCATTGGTGAAGAAGGTGGACAATGACTCGTGCATATGAACAATGTCTCGCACTATAATTGATGGGTCATTTACGTCACTGTCATCATTAATGTTATCCACATCGTCCAGCAATGTAATCTCTTCGTCTGTCACTTTTGCACGATCAACTACACGCATTACATTGCTCGCTAACACATCACTGTCTGACTGAACCAGATTTTAAATGACATCGGTCGTTGTTTTAGTATGAAATTGGATACCAACATTCGAAGAAGATGTGGTGTATCCCAAAAACATCGACGTCTGCGTACTGGGTCCTATATGCAATTTTGGCACCTAAGGCTCGGCCTCTGGAATTCCATGGCCCAAATGAAACTATGCTGCAAAAGTATCGTTCGCCATAACGCCATGTGCATATTGACTACTCTCTTCAACATAGTAAGAGTTAACATGTGCAGGAAAACTGGGACGCAGATTGATGTTCTCCTGTGTAAGCAATTGGATATATGGGTTATACTCATTCACCATTAGCTGCAGAAATTGTTGGATGTGCTCTGTTTGTATGTACAAGTCAATACTATTTGGTGCTTGGTTCTTAAAAACTGCATCCAACATCTCTGCCACACCGTCATCATTTTTAATTGCAAATTCTACGTACTGTTGCATGTGATCCCCCAAAAATGATAGAAATCGACAAATTAGTTGTAGTCGTGATGTTGAACAGTCCAGCTGCATTATCGTGTACATAGCTCTTAACAATTCTTCATATGTTATATGTTTTAACTTTATACAATTTTGAGGCTTTCCATTGTACGATAAACAACCTTCATTGTATATAATATTACCTCCCCAATAGCACATTAATGTGGCGTGTCTCCTCGATATTTTATACCTTTAATATAATATCAAATAATTTTCATATTTAAATTACTAGATTTGGTTGCATGACATATTTTAAGGTGACATCATCTTCTTTTATTCATTTGATCCCACAAAAACAGTAGAGCTATTAGCCTCTGCCCTTCAATTTATTTTGGAATTTCCTCTTTTGCTTGTTGCATGTATAAGTTTTCATTACCTTATTCTGTCAATTTTCCCTTTCCTAACTGATTACCACCTTTTTTAATATAAAACTCAAGAAAGAATCTCATGATTCCCATCTTTTCTAGTGCCAATCATAAGTAGTCTGTTAGCAGTAGAGCATAACCCTGGTCCTCATCATTCATATTTGTTTCTCTATTTCTTAAATGGATGGATACCCTCAATATGATCTGGCCACATACAACTCAAACTCAAGAAAATCATGTTTCAACTATTGGGAATAGGTTACATGAAGCTCATTATGCCATTATACTCGGTCTAGGAACATGTTTTCTGTAAGCAATAAGTAGTTATATCCTTGTTTACCATCTCAGACAACATTAATTTTGATCCCTCTCTAACCCCATTAATTTGGGTCTCTCTTTGATTGGGTAAGTGGTTTCGAATCTTCTTGTCTACCTTAACATGACCAGTTTGAACTTATCCAAAAGACACGAAATTTGAAAGGTTAGCAACAAAAGTAAATTGATGAAGCAAAGACCATCAATTTACATTTCAATAAATTCACAGTACAACCTAAATTCAAACCTTTTGTCATGTTACGGGCAACATACAATCATTCTAATTTCCGTCTTTTTAGTTATGTTATGAATTTCACATCTGTAAATGGCAAAGCTCTAACAAGTTCATTGTCACTATCAATATTCCTAACATTGTCAAACAAGTAAATGGCAAGGGTCAGCTTTCACAAATTTCCTAATACACAGTCCAATATTCCTTCACACTGTAAATTTTCTAACACCATCAATTGTATTAGACAAACAGTAAGCAAACACCAATATTCGTAATGCACAAAAAACATAATTTAATCCAAAAAATAGCATTCAGTATACATTAGGATATTCTGAATAAAATTCAAAAATTTAATGTACCTTCACACTGCGAAGTTCTGAAGTAAGGATGCAGTTCAACTTACTCGAATTAGTAATGGGGATTAAAGATTTTATAAAATTGGGAATTTTTGTAACACAGTAATGAGATTTGTTTGAGTTACAGTTGGGAATATCTAAATTCGGCAAGGAGATTGGACAATAGAGAAATTTTTCTTAAATTGAAAATTTCCTGAATTGCAGAGTCCATTGTAGTGTATCTAGTTAAATAGAATGCTTTTTGTTCAACACGTGAAGCTCTGTCTTCTCCTTACTTCAAACATAGCCCACGGGTGTATACCAGTCCACTGCACAATTTGACAAAACACTGAGTAACCTAGGGTCTATTAAGATTCTCGTAGCTGGAATTAGGGCTCAACAGGAACCCAGGCAAATCGCAAAGTTAGGAGTGTTCACCCTACCCTACGGGTAGGAAATTTAGTCTTCCTTCTTCTTACCCGATACTTTGCGAAAATATTTTTTCTTGGCCTACCTTACCTGATCAAGTGTGGTATTCCTACCTGATTAATCGAGTAGGAAATCTGGTAAACATTTTTGTAGCTATTAATTTTTGGATCATTTTGATAATTTAATTAAATAACATGTATCAATTTAACAACACAATAAATCAAAAACTTTAAGACTTAAAACAATTACAATAAAATACAAAAAAGTATGAACATCAATCCATCATATTTACTACACAAATATAATAACAATTATTTTAAGTTTAAACCATATGAAAGACATTAAAAATCATGATTGCTCCAATAGATTATTAGTTTACCACAAATCATGTAACCTACACAAAAAACAAGTCCGTGTTTTAGCAACTCAAACATCTACAACAATAACAATGTTATCATATAAATTATACCACACAAATACTCTTATAATTACTAAAACAAATATAAAAAAGTTAAATATATTTTTTGCTGGTAGGTTAGGGTAGGATAGAAATACAAAAATTGATGGGTATTTGCATTCTTACCCGATTTAATCGGCAGATCAAATTTTTTTTCGCATTCCTACCTAATTTTTGTGGCTAGCCGTTCAGTAGGGTCGGGTAGGGTAGAAAATTGTGGCCAATCGAAAATTTGAACACCCCTACCCATAGCCGATTCTTGTAGAAGACATTAGTTGTCTTCTTTGAACAAGCTTAGGACTAAACTTGGATTTCCTTAGTTAGGGTGTGTGTATTTTAAAGGCTGAGCTTAGGGGATGGCGAAAGCAAAGAGAGCAGAAGATAGAAAAGAGACAAAGGTAAGTATTTGCCTTCCAAAGAGAGGAGAGAGGCAAAACTTGTGAAATAGCAGAAAAGGGGCTTGATGGGAGAAGAAATATTTGTATGAAAGCGGGTTTATATCCGCTTCATTTGACAAAGCGGTCTTGCATAATACGCTTTCTGTTTGAATACACATTTGTTATTTAAGTAAAAGCGGATTTCATAAATACGCTTTCAATAATAAAAACGGATTTGTTGATTCTGGTTTACCACATGAAATCGGATTTGTTGATTCTGCTTTTAAAAACTTTTGTAGATTGGTAAATAAGTTCAAGTCACCCCTCTCCCTCTCTCGCTTCCCCAAAAAAAAAAAAAATAATATAATTTTTTTCTTTAGTCTAATGTTACTCCTTACATTGTAAAAATTAAAAAAAAAAAAAAGGAAGAAGATTCAAGGCTGAAGTTGGGCTCTGCTTCGCGACAAAAGGGCTTCTTGGAGTGTACAGGTATTCTTTAGTGTTGAAGAATGGTTGATTATTAATATAAGTTTTTTCTTCTAGGTTTTTGATTTCTTCCATAGAGATCCTTTTAAATTAGGTTTTTTTTTTGGGAAAAATTGTTCAAAAAATCTCCAGGTGGGCATCTTTTCTTCTTCTTGTCGCTTTGGCATTAGATTTTTTTTTTGGGTCCAAAATTTGTGATTTCGAGAAGACTTCATCAAATCGGTTCCAAAACCAATATAAATTGTCCAAGTCGCACCAACACTGTCAAGTTATGACCGAGTCACCTCCAATTCAAGTCTAACTCGTGTTATATGTGTATCGTTATTGGATCGGTGGTGGCCGAGTCGGATACGACTCTCGGCCGATACTTTGAACTATGATCTTTGATGTTAGGTAAGCCATTTATTGAGCTATATTTATATAAAGCGTTAATTCTAGTATATATTTTCTGTGGATTTTGAGATATTATTAGTTTTGATAGATCTTTTTGAAGTGCGTTTTGAGATGAGACCATAGATTATTTGATGTGGGATACAAGCACTCTTTACACCCTTATTCCCGTGGGACCCAGGGTCACATATGGGACTACCAAAAAATAGACAATTGGGTAAGAGACTTGGCCCACTAACCGCATCTACTATGTTAGAACATCTAACCCAAAACTAATTGGCGATGAGTGAAAAGGCCCCTCAAACCTATAAACTAACTTTTGGTGTTTCTAATCATTTGATGTGGAATGCAAGCTCTATTTACACATCGCATGATCCACTAATAATCCAAAGGAACAAGTGAATGGATTATAACTTTCTACCACCAGATAATGATCACAGAGATGTAAGTAGTATAAGGAATTTATCTTCAAATAATTCCAGCTTAGTTTGTTGGATTCAAGAGGTGGTCTCCTTTGTGGTGAAGAAATTGACATTTTTCTAACTTCATCTGCAAATCTGATACTTTAAAAAAGTTGCCAATGTGGTTCTTTTTTCATGCTTCTCTTCTATTGTGCGAAAGTATTTTTTTCCACTCTTTATGATTGAGTTTTGAATACTAGATCCATATCTTTCCTGTTCCGGTAGATAAGACCAAATTCTCACGTGTCCATTTCATTATTACCACCTTATTTTTTTATGTCAAAGACAATAAGCTTTTGCACTAATTCTCATTGGATCTCGTTTGCTCTTTACTAACCTCATCCTATTCTCATAACCTCTCTTAATGATGCACATACATAATTTGAAGTCCATAACGTGCCTTGAGGAAAAAAAATTGTAAAACGGTGAAAAGTAACCTTTGATTAGAATACTTCATTATTTTGAGTTTGACTGTTAATTTCTTTCCTCTTTTATGCCCATTTCCTTTTGCAGGAGAATTTAAACTTAACATTGAATGCAATCATGCCACCCTATCTGGTCACAGGTTTGTGATATTCTGTCTCTCAACTCTAGTTATCTTCTCAACTCTAGTTATCTTCTCAACTCTAGTTATCTTCTTGAGTGTCTGTTGCTTTTCTTAGTTATCAAAGCATACCGCAGTTAATGGCTTATACAATATATTTGTCTGTTCAACTCTGAAGCCGAGAATTCTGTTTCTAAGGTTTATGAATTGAATGCTTATATAAAATTTGATAAGATGCAAACTGATCAACCAGGTTAAATGTACACATGCGCGTGCATATGTTGCTGAGAAATACATGCGCATACATGTGTGTACATACACTCCCGTGTATGTACACACACATGCTTGTATGTTGCTCGAGTAAGGTTTTAGCAAACTAATATATTAGTGTATTTTTTGTATTTCCAATGAGTAACTCTATAATTTCATCAAATTCTGTAGGTTTGTTTATTCAGCAATTAGCATATTTGTGTTTTCTTTCCACATCTTCTATGCTTTTGGATGATATTTTAATGTTGGGGATAAATTGGATTACAATTTTAAGTGGGATTTGTTTCCATTGGCACATCTGAACTTGGCCTGGCTAGATATGTGAGAAATTTACTTGTTTAAGCTCCACAAAAGTGTAATTGAGATCGTTTTCTAACAAATTTGTCACATGTTTTCTTTGCAGCTGCCATCATGAGCTTGAAACTGCAAGAATCAATGGTTTACTTGGTAACATTGATGCAAACACTGGGGATCCTCAAATTGGTATTACAGCTGATCTGCTTGGCCTAAAACTTATCTTTGCCGTTGCAGTTAGAAACTAAACATCATAATGTTGTGGGTTGGAAATTATAAAAAAGAGCTTTTGTTAATTCTACAGGTTGGGATACAGATCAGTTTTTGATGGATGTAAGTGAAGCAACATTGGTTATGCTCAGTGTCATAAAAAACGTATGTAAAGATCTTATACTCTGTAGTTTTGTAATATATCAGAAGACTGTCTGAAGACTTTATTAACAGGTTTTGTTGATTTTATTATAATTGACAGGAGGGGTTGGCACCTGGAGGATTCAATTTTGATGCCAAGTTGTAAGTTGTGTCCTTTTAATTTTTTTTCTTTGTGTGTGCTTTCGCATTTCCTTTTTATGTGGGTTAAAACTAAGGGCGATAACATTGTGCAAAAAATGTCAAAGCTTGAGTCTCTGTCCTTTCTAGAGCCCCATTAATGAGAACTAACCGACTATTATGTTTTCTTTCAAATTGAATGAAGTATTTGTGTACTTTTTTATAGTGACAAAAATGTTAGATTTGCTGAAGTTTGTTAGGGACAAGTTGATATTTCTTTATGTTTACCTGTTTACCTCTGTTTGAGTACTATTTTCCAATATTATAGGTGTAAAATAAGAACATAGTTTTTTAGCTTTCGGTTTCTTTTTTTTGGATTTGTTTTTTGGTGCGGGAATTGGGTTCCGTTTCATTTGTTGTGGTTTGTTTCTTCCCTACCCCGTGCCTTGGAGGGGCTTAGTAGGCAGCTGTGAACGTCCTTAAAAAGAAATTTTCAATGATTTCAGTAGTTTTTGTCATAGGACTTGAGGATGAGACCAGGTTTGCATTGGGGATTCATTTTTTATCAAGAGCATTGGGTTCTTGATTAAGAAACTCAGTGGCCTTCAAAAGTGTTAGAACCCCGGGGAGTTTAGCTTGATAAAACCTTCTGTTGCAATTTTAGGTTTACTTAGTAACTGGGTTGGAGATAACATTGCTAACCGGATGATTATTTACTTAGGCGGAGGGAGAGCACGGATGTGGATGACTTATTCATTGCTCATATTGGCGGTATGGATACCCTTGCACGTGGACTTCGAAACGCTGCCAAGCTGATTGAGGTTATATTTCTCTCTTTTACACATTTAAAGTTTTTCCTGAAGTAATTTCTTTTTTCTTGATTGCATACTAAATTGGATTCTGTTGTCTTGGGAAAAGGATGGTTCTTTAAATGAGCTTGTTCGCAAGAGATATCAGAGTTTTGACACAGAAATTGGGGCCCAAGTAGAAGTAATCCCCTTGCTTTACCTTTACTCTTTCTTCTTCTTTTCAACATTTATGTCTCCTTTTTGTGTAATCGGTTGTATGGAATGATGCTTTTTGACAGGCTGGAAAGGCTGACTTCGAAACCCTTGAGAAGAAGGCCATGGAATGGGGAGCACCCAAAGTTCCTTCTGCTAAGCAGGTAATCCAAATGTTTTTTATATTAGTACAATGGATCTGCTTTTGGTAATCAAGATTCTCATTGACGTCAAATTTAGCACGTGTAAAAATAATTACAAGACAACTGACGGTTTAAACGTTACTAATATTCATCAAAATTTTCCTTTTGACTAGCTTTCCTAATTCACACTGAAGAAATACTTGGCCGGTAGTGGTGTCAGAAATTGGAGGGAAATCAAGAAAAATTCCTCTTCAGAATTAGGAGAGGATTTTAATATTATTTTTATGTTTGAACTCTTCTAATTTCCTTTATATATTTGTTGGCCAAGTTCATAACCTTCGGAAACAAATGCATTAATTTACTTGATTTCGCAAAAAATAGGAAGGAAAATTGGGATATGGGGTGTGCAAAACCAATGTGTTCTTAATATTGCAATTTGCAAATTAAGAACCATGGTTTGTCTCCCCCCCCCCCCCCCCATCTTTCTTCGTCCCATCTCCTCTTCCTTCTTTTTACTAACTATGCAACATATGAATGCCTGTTGGTTGTTAATTTTTTGACAATTTTTTTCCATAAAGGGATTATATGCAATCCATAGGGCTGGGAAATCATTGCTCCAGTGCTCTGTTGATGTTCTTCATTTACTGATTGTATTTGGTGACATCTCCAATAAAATTGATGTTGAGTTCTGTTAAAATGTTGCAGGAACTTGCAGAGATGATTTTCCAATCAGCATTGTAGGAGAAAAACAGAGTTTTGACATAGTTCGAAGTTTCTATTTGCAACCTTTTTTTCTAGAAATACTTGGTTGTGTTTACTGGTGACAGAACCAACAGTTACACTTGGGTTATGTGTTACCATTCTCTTCCTAGTAAAATACTGTTACTAAACCCTAAAATAGTTATCAGCACAATTATTAGTTAGCGGATAGCTTTTCTACCAGTTAAGCCCTTTTCATGCTTTAATGTTAAATCTATATCTGGGAAGTCTGTGCATGGGATTATGTGTGCTTGTAAGGATTTGTGCTCATTCATAAACTCTTGCTGATGAGTTTGTTTCCTTTTGCTGCTGAGTTTGTTGTTGGGAAACTGTAAGACCCTACATTAAAAATTATTAAATAAAGATATTATTATCTTAAGAGTTCTCCTAAGATGAATAAAATGATGGTAGAAACTTAGAATCATTGTTAAAAAATTGACCATGAATTTTGAGTTTTGGATGAATTGACTTTTGTTTCAAACTTAGTTTTGAATATGTTTAACCTTAAGAACAGTGATTAAGTAAGTTTCTCATTATTTTTAGGTCAAGATAAGGTCTCTATTGAATCTGGAAGGTCGAGAAATCTTGGGAGAGGTAATATGTGGTATATTAGAAATTATGAAGTATTCCGGAGTTAAAGCATATTCTAGAATGAATTTGGGTAGGAAGAAATTAGACATTATCTTAGTATTTGGATCATAATTTTTTATCTTGATGTCTATTTGAGCTAAAATTTTTAAAGCAGACACTAGACTTTCAGGGTAATAAAAGTGTATTTCACGATAATTTTTTAAATCTACCTCTAAATAGGTTAAGATTTCACTGGAAGTATCAACAGAAACAAGAAGGCCGTTGGAACGCCAACCATTCGTTTTAGTACTTTGTCTCTAATAGAAAAATAAAAGTACTGGAAACAACTAACATTCAAACATCTGACGTTTGAACGTGAGCGACGAATCAGAGAATTAGATTTACGTCAGTTGAACTCTTTTCTTCCCTTATAAATACATAAGGGTGCCTCCTTTGGCCTCACATCAACATCTCTAACCCTAGAGCGCCTTAGAGATTAAGAAATGAGAAGAAAAACACAAGATTAAGATGGATTTTCACATTGAAGTGGAGCAAATCTTCTTATTTTGCACACACATTAAGGAAGAAGAAAGGTAGGTGTGTCTTCCTAATCTCTTCCATTGAGGCTAAGGTTTATATATATGTATGTTTTGACTCTAAATCTATTTATATGTTAGAAAATCCTTGATTCTTGATATTCTTGCAAATATTACCATCCTTTAAACAAAGCTATGATTAGATAGCCATGAAACTCTTTTTCTTGCCTTAAAACCCTAGTTTTCAAGAAAAATGAATTTTTCTCTTGATTTTTCCATTGTTCTTGATTTCAAAACTCTAGTGCTTGGTATTAAACAATAAAATGGTATTTTTGATAATCTCTTGCATATTTTCTTAAATTGTTCTATTGGAATAATACATGTGAAATTTGAGTATTTTGGATTTTACTTGGGATTAGAGAAATTGGTTGGGTATTGTATCTCTTGTGGATGTTTGAATGACCATGGGTGGCTGTTGACCAGGTATCGTAGAGTAGGTAGATGCGTTTCTTACTCCGTGAGGGTTTGAATTTTTCCTACCACTCGTAATGGGGTTGGTGCCTTGCGAGGATCAAATTACTATTCGTTCACGGGTATCGAGGTTAAATGTTAGTATACTATTCCTGGGTGGGATTCGTCACTGCCAATGCGTTGGTATATGTCCTTCCTAAAGTTTGATATCCTTACGAGAATTGGGTTTTATTCATGCATTGTCATACATTATACCTAAAATACATTGTGGGCTATTGTTTATTATGCAAATGATTGGTTATAGTTTATCGTGGAAAGAAGTTTACGGTAGAATTGATTTATTGTGAAATTGATTATTCTAGAAATGGTAACTTGTTGGAAGTTGGTTTTACTTTTTTATTTAATTATTGCTATTGTGTAAATTTGAGATCCATTGAAATATCTCTGTTTTTTTTCAAAAGTTATATATGATAATTGTAAAATGAGATCGACCCCTTTTTATGCTTTTAAAACCTTGTTCGAGTTTGAGAGGATTTTTCTACAAAGTTTAGTGCTCACCTCCTAAAAACAACATTATTTTCAGATTTTGGTTTAGAGGAGGAGTTCAGAGTTGACGAGCAGGTAGTTTAGGAAGCTCAACTTGATGGGCATGTGGACCCGGAGGGGAATATCTAGAACTACTTTTTTTATGTCCTAGATTAGGAAGTTTATTTTGAGATAATGTTCATGTTAATGTTTTTCTTATTCCTTTGTAAGATAATAGTTAATTTTTGGAATGTAATTGCCATAGTTGGGCATATTCATTTGGATGAAGTTGTAAATATTATGGATGATGAAATGAAATTTTCTTTAATTATGAACTTTATCATCTTGCTCTTATGATGTGAATGGTTTTAGATAGTAATGTCGTCCAAGGGGGGATTTTGGGGAGTTACAGATTTGGCATCAGAGTTTAGGAATTAGGTCTTACATGAGAGCTGTAGGTTGAAGACTATCATTGGAGTATTAGGTTCGGATGAAAAAACTCTAGGGTTAAATTTGTTTGAAGTTATATGTTTATAAGATATGTGTAGGATTAATTATTTGTTCGAATTCATGGATTAGCTAATTTTTAGAAGTTGACGAAATATTTTGGGATGAATATTCTAGTTTTATATCATGTCGTTTTTGGACTATTTTATGAGATGAATGGTAATTTGGATTTTGGTTTGTAAATGATGATAGACATGGATCTTTATGCAAGTTATGTTATCTATATTGGAGATGAGTACAAGATAGAATTTGTGACAAAAGACACTCAAACTCGAGTTGGACAAGTATAGCAGAACCATCAGTCAAGCATACTACCTTTTACTAATTTGATCATAACTCTTTGTTGGAAAGTTCAAATTGTGTACCATTTTTTTTTGTTAGAAGCTTAACTCGTATATCTTTTCAAGCATATATGTTACACATGCTAAAAATACCTGAGTTAAATTAGTTTATTTTTCGAAGTTGATAAAAAATCTGCACTGTGCTATTCATTGGATAGCATAGTGTCGTGTTTTCTTCTTAGACTCTGAATGACTTATCCTTAAGCAAATTTTCACATTATTTAGGTCTTGATTGAGAGACACTCCCATGTTAATTGAAGTGCTTTTGATGGATAAAAATATAAAATGTGACTACAGTTTGGTGCTTTGTCGACTCTAAATATTTTATTCTAATATTAGTGTTGCTTATATTTATGAAAATGATGGAGATGTGATAACTCAATTTAGATATGTGGAGGTAAGGTCAACTTAGATGTTTATAAGATGGACTAAGTTTTGAATAATTAGTTTATGGAAAGTTATGTGTGTTACTTACTAAGTTTTGAATAATTAGTTTATGAAAAGTTGTGTATGTTACTTAAAAGTCATAGAAATTAAGGAATGAATGTAGTTTTGGTTTTACGATATGAACCATGAGAGTGTTATGTTTTCCTCTAGGGTGAGTATGATAATATGAGATAGTATAACTCTCAAATATGATTAATTTAAGGAATATAATGAAGTAACATTGAATGAGAGCCTATTTTGGAATAATGATGAGAATTGTGGTTATGGTTTTTAAAGGGACCAGAGTTTGTTTCATAACCATGTACTTGAGGTTATCAATATTGGTTTGAAAATATTACGGAGAGTTGATTAAATTTACTTGGAAGTATTAATAGTTTAGAAGGGTCATACATAGGATACCCATTGACGACGTTATTCTTAGGTGATCTTATTTTCCTTGTGAGTTTATTTCACTATATTTAGACTCTTTAAAGTATTAATAATCAAGAATCTCTTGGTTGAGTATGAGGCTAATAGTTGACTGGTATTTACAACTTTTAAATGAAAATTAAGGTCAATTTATGAAAATGAACTTATAGACATTTAAAACGGGAAATCTAGGAAGTCTAATTAAGTTGTAGTATTTACCTTGGACCCCCGATATTGTAGGATTAAAGATTATAGATGTTTAAAAAACTCGCGGTTAGATATAGTAGCATCTATTGAAATAAGAATCATTTCAATGTTTGGTGTTAATTTCTATCATTATGTGGGATCTTTTAATGTTATTGGAGTTGTGTGTTGGGGGAGTATGGAGTTCTTTTTCCTATTTCTTTTAGTACATTATTAAAATATGTTTGATTAGTTATACTTGAGGATTGCTAGTATGAGTATTGAATATTCGAACTTTATAGTTAGTGGTGATAATTGGAAGGATGTAATTCGAGGAATCATAATGATTCATATGAAAATTGACTTTGACATGAGTGTAGAAACATTGAGTAATGTTTGGGATAAATGACTATAGTTATCCTACTAATTAGCAGATCATTATCATCTTAGAGATTATGAATAATTGCTAAGCTATGATGACTAATGTAATTAAATTGAAGAACGTTAAGTGAATTATTGGAAGTCGTGTTTTAGTTTTGATTATATCATAAGAAATCTGGTGAAAAAGAATTTAGAAATATTTTGGATCATTGACAGTTTATCTTCACATT